TGCCCGGAATTGCGGGAGGTAGTATGATGTAAGTGAAATTTTTTTTTTGTTGCACTACTTATGATTGCCAGTGTAACTATATATCTATATATTATAGCACACCCTAGCGGCACATCACTAGTTTATGCATTTAAAATGTTGCATTTAGGACCAGACTATATTGAATGTCAATGAGTTTCTACTCCAGTTGGGTTTCAAGATTGGCCAATTCTTTGTGAAAAAAATTCATAAACAATAAAGCCTAAACTGGAAAGGATACTGTTAAATGTCTATGTATAATCAAACTACCATTATACTGTTATATATATGAAAAAATCGTGATATTATATTGACATTACATATTGAATACTTATTACAAATTTCACCATTAGCTCTTAAGACAACATTTATGAAACAAAAATAAAGTAAATATAATTTCAAAGATCACTATACTTCATATTATATTGTAAAAACGCTATCTTATCTATTGCTTCGTTGTTCTGATAAGCGTTTATAAATTTATCAAGATTTTCTAAGATGATTTCGTCATCTAATTTTAATAATAGCAAATACTTTACTGCGAGAGTTGCCAGTCCAGGATATGTATTTTTGTATTTTTGCCACCATTTACAAAGATCATCATTTTCATTATAGTTTAATTGTGAATGACTAATATAGTATTCAATTTCATCATTTGATAATTTAGTCGAATTAATTCCAGCGATTTCTGAATAATAGCCTTGACATTCATCTAGCACAAGCTTTCTAACCTCCTGCTGGTATATTATATGAAACATATTAACATTAATTGTAATTTTATTATCTCAAAAATGATAAAACTTACATCATTCATGAAAATTGATTTCGAATGCGGATCTAAAAACAAGCCCACTCTCTGATGAAGATTCAGATACGAATTAATTAAAAAGCTTAAAAACGATTTGAGAATCTCATGTTCCGAAATATCGTTTAAAAACTCATAAAACTCATATAAATCATTTTTGGGAATATCATGTAAAGTAAATGTATTATCTAAATCATCCCGAAAGCCCTCATTTAAAATATTAGATGCATTAATTAACATATCTCTAAGATTTCTCATAGTAACGACTTCGATATGTTCCAAAGGTTTAAACAATTGCAATAATTTAGGAAATATGCCAAATGGTAATTTATCTAATAAAAAGTGGTTGATGTTTACTCTAATAAAATCATCATTGTTATTGCTATGATTAATTAATAGCTTGACAGGTTGCTCGATTAATGTAAGAAATTCTATTTTATGATAATTGCAATTACAAATAACTGTTTTCACATTTTGCATTATTCTTTGCATCCTATTATCCCCTAAAAACTCTACTATTGAATGATACTTGTCAATAGCATTCGTAATAGCAGCTATAATAGTAGACATTTCTTGTTCATGGTAATTTTTATCAGCCCACCTTTTTAAACTATACCTTATTAAATCATCCCCTTTACCACCGCTCACGCATATAATAATATCTTCGTCCTTATCTCTCCTATCTCTCACATAAAAATCCAAATTATATAGAAAATCGTAATTTAGATTCAAACTAATAAACTTCAAGTTAGTTAATTTCCACGCATCTAAAGCATCAAGGCAGTCACCAAGTAATCCCTTCAAAGTTGACTGCAATTCGCTCACTTGTAAAGATTTTACAAAATTCGAAATTCTCAGTTAACCACTCATAAGTGATTATAATAAAACGTTTATAATTAAATCTTCTGACTGAGAGCGTAACAAAAAGTTTGCTTGTCGAATTTTTGGCTTTAATTCAGAGAATAAGCGATCCTTTACTTTATCTATTTTTTCTTTTATAATGACAGGAGTGATTGGTTGTTTAACAAGTTCAGAAAACTTTAAATAATCAACAACGTTAAAAGGTGATACGGAGGAGACAATGAATTTAATTACTGATAGAACTTCCTTATCGTTTGTTAATGATGGTTGAATAGCTGTTGTGGGTGTTATCCTATGCACATTCTTAAGATGGCGGAGAAGGTTAGAAGTGGATCCACGCCATATGTATTCCACATTACATCCATCAATAGTGCATTTTGCAACCTCTCCATCTTTCGGAACTTTAAATGGTTGGAAATACTTCCAGCAGATGCTCCCTTTGTCACTATTTTCAGAGCGTCGGTATGATTGTTTTGTTTTACTACTTTCACTAACTAATGAGTTATTTTCATCGTCAGCATCAGAAATTTGATTTATTTTATTTCTTGCCATCACAAGTTTGTTGTTAGCTGTAATAAATGATAACGAAGGACGTATATAAGGTAGTTAGATTATTTATATATTCACGGTTACGCAAAAATCAGCGATCTCAAGAATACGTTGTTCATTATTTGTTATACAATTGGTAAATTTGAATACGTAATTGTAACTGTTCTTGTAAACAAACTAATTTGACTAACAAGTATAATTGGCAATTAGTCATTTGAAAATTTTACCAACTAAACAACCAACCAACTAACCAACTAATTAAATGGCTAACCAACTAACAAAGTAACCAACTAAACAACAATCTAAAAAACTTGATCGTATACAATCACATGGTTACTTTTTTGCTCGATAATACACAACAAGGGTACGTATTACAAATATATTTAATTATATACAAACATAGACGGCTCAGTAATGAGGATTTTGTTGATCAAATTTTTAGTCATATGTTATTTGTTCGTCTGATTGGCTAAACTAGCTCTTAAGACCCGGTCGGTGACCGGGTTTGAGTTCCTAATTTTTTGCTAATTCTTAGGTCTTAACATTAT